TGGGGGGGGGGGGGAAGAATGATCATCATTAAAGAATGAAAAACTGTTGCTGAACAACGCAAGCCAAGCTGTCACGTGCTGCAAGTTGCATTTGTTGTTGTCAACTCATCAGCTGCTATATACAAGAAGGTGCCCTGTTCTTAACATACCTGTACCGTTGATGGCTAGCATGCCATTATTACCGTTATGCGCCGTGGCCGCCGCAGATGGCGCCTGCTGCAGTACGCTGGCACCGGCCACCAGCATGGCGCCCACCAACAGAAGGTACTGCCGCCAGCTGCTGCAGTGTCTTTGGGAGGGCGCCTGCTGCTGCTGCTGCAAACTGTTGCCTGCTCTATACCTGCTCTGCTGGGCTGCTGGAGAACTGGCGCTGGTAGTGGTGGTGGTGGTTGTGGTGGTTGCAAGGGCGTAAGGCTGCCGGGAAGGCGTCATGAGGGCATCACAGGATGATGGGCTGGGGCGCAGTGCCGGCGACTCCATTGCCGAACACCTCTCCCGCTGACTATGTGGCTCACTGGCACTGGGACGTTTTCTCGAGACCGTCGTCGTCGTCGGCTGCGATGTACATCTGCTTCTGCAATGTGTTTGCTGCAGGTGTTCCAGCTGACGCAATTGACACTGGTGGTCGTGCTCTCTTTGGGTGCCACCTGGGCTGGGCATTTCTGCCCAAAGCTGATGATGGTGACGATTTCTTGTTTTCATGTCTCTGAAAACGGGTTGTGAGGGGTGATGGGGTGGGGTGTGGTGGTAGTGGTGGTGGTGGTGCTTTAGTCGATCACTTGTTTCATTTTAAAAGGAGGTTGTTTGTCGTGGTGTTGAGTGGTTGAGTTATGGGCCGGGAATAGTCGGCTGATCTAAAGTGCAGCATCTATTGTAAACGGTAAAAAAAAGGTAAAATGTTCAATTATTTACCAGCACACACATTTAAATTTTAATTGGTGAATAAGGTGTTTATTGAAAACAGAATTTTACTTAACACACTGTTTTTATATTCACAAGTTTGCGGTCTCAAACAAAAATACCGTTTTGAATTTAGACAAACGCTACTTTGTTATATTTTCTTTTCCCCTCCTCTTCCTTTTAATATGAGCATTGTTGGCGAGTGTCGTATAAATTAAACATCTTGAATCGTTCTCATGAGGATATATTGTCATTATAGCAAACAGTCTCTCCGCCATCAGTAGCATCATCAACAGAGGACCCTGCGCCACTTTTCTTAATATTAATTGAATTTTTTTTGCATCTCACTCTCCTCTCTTTACCCACTTTTAGTTTTTCTTCCCCACTCATCGTCATCGTCTTCTACTCCATCGTCTGCAATAATATGTCTGATTAATATCACAGCTTCTGCTGTAAAGGCGACGGCTGTCTCATCATCATCATCATCGTCGTCGCCATTGCCGTCGTCTTCGTTTGGCTAAGCAAACAACGGCACGAAGAAGGCGAGTACATATTTGCCATTAGCTCAATTGACGGAGGCTAATAATAAAAGAGTAAACCAAAAAGAAAATGATGAACAAAATGAAAAGCAAACCACACACACATACACACACTTAAGGAGAGTGAGCAAGAAAAATTTAGACAGACAAACACACACTTCATCAGCGTTCTCCAATTTATGAAATATTTATAATTTTTCTCTTTTTCATTTTTCATCTTCCTTCTTGTTAGTTCTTTTTTCATTTAATAATACGAACCGTCAATTGTCAACTTGAACACACACACAAGCGCACAGCACTTACACAAACAGGAGAAACGGAAACACTGAAATTTCAAAGTGGAGCTCTCCGTCGGTAATTGCACTGTCGACTGTTGGTTGAGACTTTCCCTTTGCTGTTAGTATGGGAGCCCCAGCACTACCACCACCACTGATACGGGCACTTGTTTATTCTGATGACTATCAGTCGCGTTTTGCCTACCTTTTCAATGCTCCATTTTGAAACCTCCTTAGCGGCCGATTAATGATTGGCATCGATTGCTTTTGCGATTCGATTACGAAGCACAAGCGCACAGGCTGACAGTCATTGCTGCCCTGCATCTGTCAATCACTGAACACACTGTCTGTCAGCCGATGATGATGATGATGATCAGCTGAGAGAAGTGTAATGTAGGCAAAGGCAAAGACAGGAGAAAGGCTGCTGATACTCAGGTACTACATGCTCATTTGTCTCACTAGTAGTGAACTGATTTTGTGTGTCTTGTTCAAATTGTTTCCCCCTTTCTTTTGATAGTCATTGGCTGTTGTAAGTTTTTAACCCGAAGTTAGCTGAGAAAGTGTTTGCGGCAGTGGAAAAAAGCATTTGGAAAATGTGTCATTTAGGCCACAAAACTAGCGTTTTAATTAAAAACAAGTTAAAGTTAAATTAATTGTTGTTATTAAAAATTTTTTAAACTACGTTTAAAACTAAATTAACTTTAAATTTTTAATCAATTAATTCATTTTTTTGATTTTTTAAAATCATGTAAAACTTTAAGCATAAATTTTTTAAAACAATATGTTTTTTTGTAATTGCCAACAATTGTCTTTTTAAAAACAGTTAGGAAAAATATGAGTATTCAAGTATTTTTTTCAAAAAAATAAATGTATGCAAATTTGCTGGCAGAACCAGTTATCGTTTTTCTTTTGTGCATATGGTGTAAAGTGGCATTTTATTATAAAGCTAAACTAGAGAGACTATGGTAAAGCCACATCAAGAAAAGTAAAAAGCAATGCAAAGAAAATGGCAAATAAAAAAGCAGAAGCTTTAACAAAGCCCTCACTGATCATTAGGAGTTTTATAAACTATGTAATTTTGCCTGTGAGCAGTTTTTTTAAATGCAAAAAAGAGACAAGCACATTGAAACTGAGTTGATACGGGCACTGACTTAATAACCGTGTTTAAGTAGCAGATACACATGCACATGAGATTAAAATTTAAGCAAACAAAAACCAAAAAAGAAAGTAAATTCTAGTCAAAAAAGGGAAAGTTTAAAATGATAGTTATGTTTGAGATTTTTAAATTGTGCAGTTACTACATTAACACAAACACTTGCTGTCAACCAGTTAGTAAAATAAAAGTCCGAATAATAAGTAAAAAAAGATTTTTTAAAGCAACAAAATTTTAAATTCAGAGTGATTGTGCCATGCAGTTGATGAAAAGTCATTTTATTTAATAATTTTAACAGTTGTTTTTTTGCTCAAAAACACTTTTTAGTACTATTTGTAAAAATTTTATGTAACAGTTATTGTCAAAAAAACTTCAAAATATAAACAAAATATAAAAAAACAATTTTTAAAAAAAATTGCAATTAATGAGATTAAGATACTTAATTTAAAATACATTAACTTAGCTTGTTTTTAGTTTAGCAAAAAGATGTGTCTGCATCTAGGGTTTTGTATTAGTAATGTATGTAATGACCTGGAAACGGAAAGCATCAGTGTTTGTAGAAGTTTGCTTACTAGCAAATATTTGCACTGATAAAAAACATGTTCACACCGCCAATGACACTTACATTTTGTCTCTTTAAACACTATCAAAGTGACTGAGTGAGAACACAAGCACTTTCCGTTTCCGCACAATGCGTCCGGCAAGTTTTGAGTGGCTATTTAGTTTCCTCAATTGAATCAGTCAGTGTTTGTGCTTATGTCAATAATGTCAATTTTTCGGCCATTTTTTCATTAACTTATATTTAAAACACTGCAACTAAAATAGGTCTCAAACTGTTACCTAAAAAAACATCAATGAAAAATTTAATAGTATTGGTCATTATTGGTAAAAAATGTTAAATAATATTTCTATCGTTTTTTATCTTTTGAAGCCAATGTTGGTCAGATTTTATTTGCATGAATTCTTAATTTTATTTAAAATAACATAAAAATTTGTTTAACTGAAAAATTACAAGTCAAAGTTAAACAATACAAAACCATTTTTAACCTAATCAGATTAAAATATAAATTTTAAACTAAAAAAAGTTCTTAAACAAAAACAATATCAAGTCACTGTTGACATTATTAAAACGACAAAATGTCAATAAACAAAGTTTTTAGATTATTTCAACACTTCTCAATTAAAGAAATGAAATTGGGTGAAAATGACAAGCAAAGCTGTGATGATGTTTATGATGTTGAACTTTGCTTGGTCAGTAGATTTGCGGAAAGTTATTAACACAGCTTCTAGAGAATAAGTGAAAAAGAGAGGAAAGCAAGCAAATGTCAAATGAGATGACAGGACATACTCAGCAACGGCTGACATTGAACACACCAGTGGCTTTGAGCTTCAAATGGTTCACTGGCCGATCGAATGTGTCAAATGGATCAACTTTTTTGCTCTATCCTTGCACTTTACTCTTAAAGCTTGATCAGTAAACTTGGCAAATGAAGCCACAGTTTGAGACAACAAAAAACAGTGGTAGTCAGTTGGCTGGCCGTCAAACCCATCAGCGACCAATGACACTGACCAAAGATGAGCAA